AATGTTTTTGGCAAGCATGCACCACTTCATTTTGTTCATCCCTGTAGGTGTTTTAAAACCACCCATTTTGGGACACCAAGCTTGAGTGTTCCTGCCAGTAGGGGTCACCGTCCCCCCGTGCGTCTTTACCAGTGGGATTTTTTTTTTTTTTTTTTTTTGCCAGCCTCTCCCCACTCCCACCACCCTCCCACCCCCAAGGAGGGGCTCCCGAATGTTTGGTGGTGACTGGACACATATGGTTTATTTTCACAATATGGGTACACTACTGGCACTTAGAGGTTAGAGGTCAGGGATTCTGCTAAAACCCTACAATGCAGAGGACAGCACCCAACAAACAACAAAGACTTATCTGGCCCCAAATGTTAACAGTGCTGAGGTGGGGAAGCCATGGTGTGGACAAAATCCTAATGTGTGACTCTTTGAAAGAAAGACGATGACAATCTCTATGATAATAAAGCTGCCCACCATTATTATTATTTAAAATAAGAACAAACTTTCCTCTATACAAACTGGGCAAATAGTGGAGAAGCAGGCTTTCTGGGTAAGCGTGGTCCCAGGGACAAGGCAGGCCTGGCTGGGCAGGAGGAAGGCAAACAGTGTATCTTCAGCGTGGGCTCCACAGGGAGCAGAGAGGTGGGCCTGGGGGCTTGGCAGACTGCCAGCTGGGGTGGTGGGAGGTGACCTGGTGGTGTCAGTGAGTCACGGAGGGGTAGAGCGGGGCCAACAGGGTAAAAGGACTGTGGGTTTGAGTCTCAGGAGGTGGTGGTGGCAGGGCCTTGCCTCTTGGGACACAGGGGGACATGAGGCTGCAGGAGGCCCCAGGCCCCGTGGAGTGCTGATCCCTCCCAGCTCTCCAGCGAGGCGAGGCTCTGGGGGCTGGTTGGTGGTGTCCTCGCAGCAGGGTGGGCGGTGGCCGGTGGGCGGTGCACCGGGAAGGCCCAGGAAGGCTGGAGGTCAGGCCCGGGTCAGTCTCCTCCTGTCAGGCACTGTTGCATCAGTGGCGGAGGTTGCTTCTCAGAGGCCCAGGCCTGGGCACAAAGGAAGGGGTCACTCCGTTTCTCCGTACAGGCTGGAAGGCAGATGGCCTGGGCTGGGGGCTCGGGCTCCTCTCCTCGGGGTCAGGGATCTCAAACCAGAGAGGTCCGTCGAACTTCTTCTTTCCTTTCTGGCATTGGCTGAGGGCCCTCAGGACGGTCTCCTTGGCACAGGGGTCCGGGGGCTCCTCCGGGGGTGGACCTCGGGAGACGCTCTCTCTGCGCTCAGGAGGATTGATTTTGACGGTGACCGGGCTCCGGACGTGTCGGGGGTTCCGGGCATTCCAAAGCCATCGCTGCCTGAAGCTCTTCTGATTCTCGGACAAATCCAGCCCCATGGAGGTGTGGCGGGGTTGGGTCCGCGTCCAGCGCTCCGGGTGGACGTGGTTGACCGGGCACTGGTCCCAGTGCCGCTGGCTGCCGGCGGGTCTGGGTCGCTGGGACCTGCGATCCGGGGCTGGGGGCGGCTGTGCGGCCTCGGCTGTGCCCAGGTAGCTGCTCAGGTAGCTGCCCATGATCGCGGTGCGGCGGGTTGGGGCCTTCGGCTCCCAGACGTGTCCGAAGTCTTCAGACGCCAAGCGCACAGGCTGCGTGACCGTTGGTACCGGGCGCAAGGACAGCGCGTGGGGTGTCGCACGTCCGGGCCCTCCGGGCACGGGGTCCCGCACGTGCCAGGCCAGCCCTGCGAACACAGAGACCCCACGCGGGGGGAGGCCGCCTGCTCTCTGAGAACAGGAACGTCCGGCTTCCCACTGTTGGTTCCCAGTGCTTGGCTCTGGGGCTCCGGGCAGAGGGGCCCACTAGTGCCTTCACTTTTTTTTTAAACAATCGTTACCTGAGCTAACATCTGTTGCCAATCTTTTTTTTCCCATCTTCTTCCCAAAGCTCCCCAGTACATAGTTGTATATTCTAGTTGTGAGTGCCTCTGGTTGTGTTATAGGAGACCCGCCTCAGCATGGCCTGATGAGCGGTGCCATGTCTGCGCTCAGGATCTGAAACCCTCGGCCACCAGAAGTGGAGTGTGGGAACTGAACCATTCGGTCATGGCCCACCTGCACCTGGACTTTTGTAGTTGACACTTAAAGGGAGAAAATATAATAATTTCTACTAGGTCCTGAAAATTATAGAAAATGGACAGAAGGCTGCTCCTTCATTATTGTAAAAACAAACCTAATACACTTGAATGCTCTTTTAAAGAAAAACAACGAATTTACTTTTGTTAGTAAAGGGGATGTGTACTTCATTCTTCTAGAATGGTTGCTAATGTCGCTTTTTGCAATTTTGCTCTTAAGGAACTGGTGAAAGACATTCAGGATTTATGTTTTAGCACTGACAATGTTGATTTAATGTGGACTCTCCTAGAACTGTCAACCTTCAAACATTCATAGATGGGTGGTTCTCTCTGAACACTAATGCCATTTCTCTCCTTTCTTTTTTGAGGAAGATTAGCCCTGAGCTAACATCTGCTGCCAATCCTCCTCTTTTTGCCGAGGAAGACTGGCCCTGAGCTAACATCCGTGCCCATCTTCCTCCACTTTATATGTGGGATGCCTACCACAGCATGGCGTGCCAAGCAGTGCCATGTCTACACCGGGGATCTGAACCAGCGAAACCTGGGCCACCGAAGCAGAACGTGTGAACTTAACCACTGTGGCACTGGGCCAGCCCCTCTCCTTTCATTTCTAATGGCAGTCTTGCAAGTAGAGCGAGGCACATTTTTCACTAGTAGTTGAAAACATCCAACTTCAAAAACTCTGCAAGGGGCCAGCCTGGCAGCATAATGGTTAAGTTTGCCCACTCTACTTTGGCAGCCCAGGGTTCACAGGTTCAGATCCCAGGTACGGACCTAGCATGACTCATCCGGCCACGCTGTGGTGGCATCCCACATAAAATAGAGGAAGATTGGCACAGATGTTAGTTTAGGGCCAGTGTTCCTCACACAAAACAAAGTGTGTAAGGGCTGCTGGGTAACTGATTATTGTGCTTAGGTTTGCAGGTCCGTTCAAGGTGGTGTGAAAAAAATGAGTCTTTTCTTGTGAAAATTTCCCTCAAAAGCACATGCCTAAGGCACCTGTTGGGCCGGCCCCAATGCTGGGTTGGGAAGGGACAGAAAGTAGAAGCCTGCAAGGAATCCAAGAGTGGGCAACAGATTCACTGCAGATCGGAGAGGAGGTTGGCTGTGGCGAGGACACTTAGTAGAGCTTAGTGAGGAAGCATCAGGTTTCTGAGGTCAGCGAGAGGCCAAATCTTTTGAGATGCAGGAGTGTGGTTAGCTGGTAGGTGTGGGAATGAAATCCCTAACAGTCTACTCACTCATGAATTCTTTTTTTTTTTTCTGGCCAATTCCTTATTTAAGGAATGATCCCCAGGTATATGATTTTGAAAACAGAAAAATTCCTATGGTATAATTTTCTTTTCAAGGCATTTTTCAGGATAGAAATAACTTTTCTTACATAACTAACATCTCTCTTAAGATGGTAATAGTATCAGATTGGATGATCTAATGCCATTGGGTATGGATTTCTTCTAACGTAGTTTTCTTTCCAATGTCTACAGAATTTCTCACATCCTATCTGCAATATAACTCAGTGGGTGTCATTCCGGTTTGTGACTAATGACCCTCTGACAAACCAGAGTGTGCTGGTGAGCTACAGGCAATAATAAGTGAGTCACTCATATACCTTTACTGGTAAATCAATGTGTTGATTAATTAAAAGCCGTTTTGTTTTCATAGACACTGAAGACGTTTCCTCTTCTCACGTACCAAGAGGTAAAGAATTTCACTGGTTAGTTGATACTGGAGATTAGCATCTATCAGTGGTGCTCAACCAGGGGTGAATTTGCAGTGGACAGTAGGGAATGTCTGAAGACATGTTTGGTTGTCACTACTTGGGGGTACTGCTGGCATCCAGTGGATTGAGGCCAGGGATGCTGCTAAACATCCTACAATGCACAGGACAGCCCCTCACAACATAACTATTGGTATATTTATTGAGACCACATAACATTTATGGAGAATAAACAATTCATGGAGAATAACAACTTAGGGGGAATTGACATCAAAGACGTCTTGATGATGTTTTCTTATGCAATCACATGGTATGAATTTTATTAGTTCAAGTTTTTTGTGTCCCTTAGGAATGTTTTACAGTTTTCTTGTTAACATTTTATAACTTCGTTTCAAGGTATTTTAGTTTTTTAGTTTTCCTTGTAAGTAGGGTTCTTTCTTCCATTATATCTTCTAACTGTGATTTATATTTCTCAAAGGAATTGGTTTCTATAAATTATGGTACTCCACTAATTGTTTCTCTAGTTTCCTTTATCTTTTTTGGCCTAACTTTATTGGCTACTACCAGAATTTAATTTAATATTTAATATGCTAATAATAGTGGAATTAGTAGATATCCTTTCCAAACTAGGCATACTATTATCTACTTTACCAAGTTAGGGAACTGTCCTTTCATTCCTGTTTTACTAAAAAGCATTTTTATAAAATAGCTGAATTTTGTCAAAATGTGTTTTAGGAATCTATTGTGGGGGCCTGGAATTGCCACCCCAAGATATGTCTCTTTGGCATAATGATTATTTGAGGCTGGTTACTTTGCAGACAGGAAAGCAACTGAAAAGTAGAATTTACTTACCCTTTGTAAGAGACATTTACATTGTAAAGGAAATCTCCATCTGTAAAGGTATCTCCCTCTCTACCAGGAAGAAGGGGGGGGTGACCTTATCTTTAGAAACTCTTAATCAATGCCAAAGGCAAGGACTTAAATCTGCATAATAATCTTATTCCTATTTCTGGTAACCTCCTGTAACTGACTCCCCCCACCCCCAACATCCTCCTTTGCCTTTAGCTGGATATGATATTTAAGGTGGGGGCTTCAGCCATTTTGGCGAGTTGCTCAGCTTGCCTGAGCCTCTCCCATGTATACATGCTATAAAGCTTTGTTTAATTTTCTCCTGCTATTCTGTCTCATGTGAATTTAATTTGTTCTCCGGCCAGATGAACCCAGACAGGGTAGAGGAAATGTCTTCCTCCCCTACACTATAGAAATGAAAATATGAGTTTTCCCTTTAGACTTGCTGATAGGATGAAGTATATTAATCATAACTATATCCTTCCTAATACTGAACCATCCTTGCATTACTAGAAAAACCCTACTTGGGCAAAGTATATATTTCTGATGTACTGCTGGATTCTGTTTCTAATATTTTATTTAGCTTTCTTTTTTTCCTAAAAATTTTTGAGAGATATTGGCCTATTATTTACTTTTTTGTGGGGGGTATCCAATCTTTGGTGGGTTTTGGTTTCACTGTTATCTTGACTTCATAAAAAAGAATTTGGAAGCTTTTGTTCTTGAGAAAAATTTTTTAATCAATTAAAATCCAATACAAACAAGTAAAAGCAGTTATTGTAGTTTGGTTAGGTTATAAATTAAAGAGGATTTTGTGTGTTGATGTAGTAACTACCACTTAAACTTTAGTTTCTAAAGGAAAAACAAATACCAAGTCAAAACTCCTGACTTAGAATAAAATTTCTGTATGGACGTTGTTTGGTTCTGTCTTTACCCCAAGATTCCATAGTAAAACTCCCTTAAGGAAATTAAAGGGTTCTGAATACATCCATTTCCAGGCTTCATTTTTCCATTTAAAAGAGTCTTAATTTTTATAGAGATCCTACATAATGCGTATACAGTAAAATATACGTCATTGTCAAGAATGAAAGTAAAAAGCTTATGTTTTTCTAGTTTTAACTCCTCTCTCTGGTTAACTTGAAGTATCACCAAATTCATGTCCAAACTGAGACAAGATGTTAGCACACTTTAATGAAAACGTATAAGCGCTACAAGATGTTAAAAACTGATGCCAAAGTTTGAGCCCAACCTTGTTTTAAAGAGGCAGACTAGAATTTCCTTACATAGAAATGTAGAAAGACTGTACCTGATCATGATCAACCTCTACAGGTTACTTCTTAATAATCCAGGTGATGGACTCGGCAAGTGGTGGGGTAGTCAGGGCCCCTGAGTAGGTCCATCTGGGCAAGTGGGCATCAGGCAGGAAGGATCAAAGGACCCAGATTCCACAAGGGCATCCTGGCCAAGAGAAGGAGATCACCAAGCTATCATTTAGTGGTAAAAACCACTGAGGAATCGGATGATGAGATGATGATTCTAGGGGTGGCTGGGGACCAGTAGTGGTCCAGAGGAGCTCTAGGTACCTCTGGGCACCTTAGGATAGAATTATGCCCATGCTTTCTTCTTGTAATTAACTGTATTTCTTTTTTAAAAAATTGAAATATAATTGACTTTTTAAAAAATTGAAATATAATTGACAACTGTGTATTTCTGATACTTGTCAGTGGGAACACAGCAGACACCATTTGCTCCCTCCATTCTAGTGACTTTACAGCAGGTGATCTCCTCTGAACTCCTTGGGAGGCATTAGGTGGTAGCTGGTACGTAAACAGGCTTTCCTTTCTCAAAGAGATTCATAGAATTCTCCTTTCTAAAATGCAATACAAATTAGGAGGAGCCAGGATCCGAGACTAAAAGGGGAGAGAGGGAGAGAAGGAAAAAGAGAGGGAGAGGGAAAGAGGCAGGAGGGAGAGAGACAGAGGTGGGGAGGAGAGGAAAAGAGAGAGAGAATACATGGACTTCCAGGGAGCAGCCCCTTTGGGACTCTGAATGTTGAACAATTAATCTCGGGGGCTGGACAGAGGTATCCAACCTGAAGAATATGGGTAATGTTCTTTAAAGAATCATTTCTGTACCTTGCAAGGTAGCCCAGGGCCAGGGGCTCTCTCAACACAAGCATCATAAATGGCAAGTTGTCTTCTCAGCAACTTTCTTTTCTTTTTTTTTTTTTTTGCTTTCTCTCCCCAAATCCCCTAAGTAAATAGTTGTATATTTTAGTTGTGGGTCCTTCTAGTTGTGGCATGTGGGACGCCACCTCAACATGGCCTAACGAGCAGTGCCATGTCCACGCCCAGGATCTGAACGGGCGAAACCCTGGGCCGCCGAAGCGGAGCGCATGAACTTAACCACTCAGCCACGGGGCTGGCCCCTCAGCAACTTTCAAAGAAAACCTGAATTACATTGAGGTTAATTATATTTCCCAATTCAAAGTGCCCTATTTAGTGTTTCCACTATGAGACTGAAACATAAAGTAGATTTCAACTGATTTAGGAAAAAGAAAAATTACCTTATGCTTAATTGATGGCACAGTATCCACCAATTTCTGTAGCTTTTTATGATGTTTGTGTAGCTAAAGAACAATAAATGAGAAAATATTAAAAACAATTGACATCTCACTCTAGAATTGTAATGGAATGTGAATTAAAATCAGATACCTGGTGACTACCTAAAAATAATCCACAGTACTGAACCTGCACTTAAGCTGACAATTTAGAATGTTATAAACATCACTGAATGAAAGTAGATACAAAACAAATGAGTAGGCCGTTTGCTGACAAGCTGGAGCCCACAGTCTGGAGGGAAAGGTGTCCCCTGTGCCATCAGCCTCTCCCTCTGAGCCTTACCGGCACTTGGCCCACAGGGGCTCTCGAGGCTGAAGCTCTCAGAGCCAGCCAGAGTGTGGGAAGGCACAGCTTTTAGCTCAGGCCCCTGAGTCCTCAAGGGCTCATTTCTGGAGCTTCAGCATAATAGCCACATTTTCTGGTTTCTGTATTTCATGCTTTGATATCTGAGGCCTTGCTGACCCTAGAGGAAGTGCCCCTCCCCGAGCTAGCTAATTCCTATACAGAACAAACTGGGAGGACGTCTTTAATACGCAAACCAACCAATCCAGACCCCAGACCCCAACTCCTCCTTTATAAGATTCTCACCCTCTGGGCCACTATTCCTCTGCCCTAATTATCCCAGAATCAGGCACCAGACGAGGGGCAGCCTCTGTGTCCCAGAGCCTGCTGAAATTATCCAAACCAAGCAATCCTAAGCTTGCTTATGCTGCCTCACCCATTCCTTCCATGGAAGCCATAATAAAGGCTCTTGTTCACATCTTCCCCTCGCTCTATCTGCCTCCTGACCATGCCTGGTGCTTCCCCATGTGACCCTGCATGGTGTTTCATGCCACCTGTTTTTAGGAATCTGTGAGTATAATAAAATCCTTCCTTCACAACAGTCATTTCCATGTCTGTGTGTTGCTATACCTGATTAAAACAAATCCTAGGTACCCTGAAAACACTCAGCCTCCAGACGGGACTAAAGCAGGGAGCTTGTGGGAGGCCTGAACCTGCTAAACCTGCAAGAGCTCAGAGGTCCTGCACAGAGTACAGTCCACAGATTTTCAGTCCACTTCTTCAGTTGCTAGCGGTGTGACCTGGCAAGAAAGCACTTCACCTCCGCTGAGCTTCACTTTCTTCATCTGAAAAATGAAAACGACAGTATTGCCATCAGAGACCTCTTTTTTTCCTTTCATGATCATGTCCCATAATTGTTTGTATTTATCTTTTTATTCCATCTAAATATATTCTTGGGGCCAGCCCTGTGGCCAAGTGGTTAAGTTTGCGTGCTTTGCTTCGGCAGCCCAGGGTTTCGTGGGTTTGGATCCCGGGCACGGACACGGCACCACTCATCAAGCCATGTTGAGGCAGTGCCCCACATAGCACAACCAGAGGCACCCACAACTAGAATATACAATTACGTACTGGGGGCCTTTGGGGAGGAGAAGAAGAAGAAAAAGACTGGCAAAAGTTGTTAGCTCAGGTGCCAATCTTAAAAAAAATATTCTTAACTAATCTCACATTTTAACCATCATTTATTTTATGCTATTTGCCTTTATCCTTTTATTCCAGTGCCTAAAAATAGAAATGTAATGCAAACCACAGAGGCAATTTTAAGTTTCTAGGAGCCACATTTAAAAAGTTAAAAAACAACAGGTGAAATTAATTTTGATAACATTTTATTTTACCAAATATATTCCAATATTGTCATTTCAACATGTAATCATTATGAAAACTTATTAATGAGACTGTTTCCATTTTTTCCATATTAAGTCTTGGAAATCTGCTGTATGTATTTTACACATGCAGCACATACCAATCTGGATGCTAAATTTTGATCAGAAATACTTGATTTTTATTTTTACACTAGAAAATGTGGATACACATACCCAAGTTGTTCCAAACATTTTAAAAAGTTTTCCAATAACTGAACTGAGTATCGGTTCTTAAATTTAAATTAATTAAAATCAAATAAAATTAAAAATCCATTTCCTCAATCACACTAGCAACATTTCAAGTGCTCAACAGCCATACATGGCTTGTAGCTACCATGGACAGCACAGTTTTATGCCATTTGAAACATATTCTTAACAATCTTATGTTTTAAGCATTGTTTATCTTACCAATGTATTGATCCCAATATTCTTAAAGTAAAAAACAATATTGTAATATTCTTTCATTCTAAAATCCATCATTTAAAGTTGGTAACATTTTTACCTTCAAAAATATTCGTATAATAACCATGTTCCTCCAGTTGCCGCATCCTCAAAGCTTTCAAATTTGATTGCGTTCTGATGCACCACATGCAGCTAAATACCATCAAAAGAAGGATTAATGCCTAACCATATAGGATCATTCCAAAATAAATCAATAGCAATAGCCTAATTCAACCTACTATATTTAATTATGTCTCCTCACCCAAAATAAAGCTACTGGCAAAAGCATATAACAATCTGATGCAAAATGAGACAGAAATAAAGAAGAGGAAGAAATTTATGCAGGAGCAGCAATTAATATTACTTTGGAATGAGGGGATTTATCTGGGGAGAAAAATAAAAGAAAACTTATATAGCAAAGTGAGTAACAATTCAGTGAGGGATCAACATTTGTTTATTCCTATCTTGATTTGCAGGAAATACTGAAATCCAAAATGCATTTGCGTCAAAAGGAGAGAAGATGTTTATCTTGAGAGAAACACTCTCCCTATGAGAATCAGGAGTTGAAGACATTTCTTCTTTGAGGGATAACCACTTAAAATGTGTTTCTTTCTATTTTTAATGTAACATTTAAAATTAAAATAAAATTAAATTGGGGAAAAAGTCGTAAGAAGAAATTTTATTTTCTTATGTGCTCCCTATACTTCCCTACAAATTATTCCTCATCCGTCATTCATGAACTTTCTGACATCATCAGCCCTCCAGCCTCCCAAGTGAGACACCTCAAAGTCATGGTTAACTTTGCGTTTAACTTGAAGAGGTCTCCACCTCCAAGTCCTGTTGCTTTTGTCTTAGAAATGCTTTTTAAAACTTGCTCCTTCTCCCTGTTTCGATTGTCACACCTTTCATTTAGGCTTCTACCATCTCTCAGTTGGATTAATCCAACCTTGTGGCCCTGCACTGTTGCCTGGGTTAATGTCAAAAAATAAAGTAACTGACTAATTAAATGAAACTATTCTGTGCCACTCTCTTCTTTAAAAATAACCAGTGTCTGATGAGCCTGCCTTCCATCTACCCTCTTAAGTTCAATGATCACCATTCTTCCTGCCTCTCCCCACAATACACATTCTGCATTCTGGTCCCTTTGTTTTTTGGCCATTTTATGAACATCTGCTTTTACACATGATTTTCCCTCAGTCTGGAATGCCCTTCTAATCCTCTTGGCAAACTCCTATTCATCCTTCAACACCCAACGGAAATGTTCCTCCTTTGAAATCATCATAGACTCCTCTGAGCAGTCTACATCACACCTTCCTCTGTGGTCTCACAGTACTTTTAGAAACCCTTTTCCAAAACACACTTGCTTTTAATTCTAATTTCATGCATACTTTTCTCACCAGACTTTGAATTCTGGGAGGTCAAGAATCAAGTTAGTATTCCTGGGACTTAGTGTTGTGCCTGGCACATAATTAGCACTGAGTAAATGCTGAATGAATAAATAAATCAATGAATGACAAAATATATATATATATATTATTAGGTGACCAAAAATGTAGACTTTTTGCTTGCCGATCCTTTTACTCTGTATTGCAATCTTATCACGTAAAATGTGAATAAACAGTATTACTATTTTTTTTTAAAGATTGGCACCTGAGCTAACAACTGTTGCCAATCTTCCTTTTGTTTTTTTCCTGCTTTTTCTCCCCAAATCCCCCCAATACAAAGTTGTATAATCTAGTTGTGGATCCCTCTAGCTGTGGCATGTGGGATGCCACCTCAATGTGGCCCGATGAGTGGTGCCATGTCTGCGCCCAGGATCCGAACCAGTGAAACCCTGAGCCACTGGAGCAGAGTGCGTGAACTTAACCACTTGGCCATGGGGCTGGCCCCAGTATTACTATTTAATATAGAAGTTATTTGTAAAGTCAGCAAGCAGAGGAAGATTAGCACGTATTCAACACACACACACAAAATAAATTTCTAGCTAAGTTTTAATTTCATGCCCTATCTTCTATATCAATTAGACAATCTATGCATAGAGAGAGATGTATTAATAGAAAATACTACTTGTAGAAGAAATTGTACATAAAAACAAGAAAGGACATTTTTCATACACTCAAAAAAGTCCAGTGATGACCCAATAATTCCACTTCTGGGTATACACCCCAAAGAATTGAAAATAGCATCTCAAAAACATGTCTGCACACTAATGTTTGTAGCAGCATTATTCACAATAGCCAAAAGGTGGCAGCAACTCAAGTTTCCACGGACAGATGAATGGATAAACCAAATGTGGTCCATCCACACAGTGGAATATTATTCAGCCTTAAAAAGGAAAGGAATATCTGATACATGCTATAACATGGATGAACCTTGAGGATATTCTGCTAAGTGAGATCAGCCAGTCATAAAAAGACACATACTGTATGATTCCACTTATATGAGGTACCCGGTATTCAAATTCAGAGACAGAAAGTAAAACAGTCATTGCCAGGGACTACAGGGTGGGGAAAATGGGGAATTACTGTTTAATGGGTAGAGAGTTTCAGTTCTGCAAGATGAAAAAAGTTCTGGAGATGAATGGTGGTGATGGTTGCACAACAATGTGAATGTACTACTGAACTGTACACTTAAAAATGGTTAAAACACTCAATTTCATGCCACGTGCATTTTAGCACAATTTAAAAGAAAGTAAGTCCAATGAGTGCCATGCCACTGCTAACAGGAGAGGTTCATGCTCGCATGGAGGCAGTGTGATATGGCCTCTGCTGACAAGAAACTGTCCCTTTAACTCCAGACAAGAACACCAGTCTGGCTCTCACCTGATTTATCTGTAGAATCTTCAAATTCCACGAGGAAAGAGTACCCGTTATTCCAGATGTGGAGGCAGGTGGCCGGGTCATAAGAGATGGTGAGCGGTTTTAAGCCAGGATCATACACGCTGTCCCTCCACCGGATGTTGATGGGCGACTGGCGCTCGCCCGCCGGGACCAGGTCCACGCTCTCCCAGAGTGGGTGCACTAGGAGAAAGCACATCCGGGCTATCACCAAGATGTCCACTATCTGGGATCACACACCAGGCAATTCCAGTTGCGGAGAGCCTGTCGAGGCCGATGGAATTGAAGTCTTAGGAATTATCTGCTCAGGGGCATAAATGACTGACCAAAGCAGAAGACAAAGCGGTCAGAGAGCAGCTTGTAGAGAAGTGGCCTTCTGCTGTCTCATCAAGCTAAAGCGTCTCAGGTGACCTTCTAATTTCACCTAAACCGAGTGACACCCAGTCCTGCGATAACAGCAAAATGCGTGGAGACGAGCGCCATGTGGAATAGGCTATTCTCAAACGAGTTCCTTCTCTTTATTGATAATTTTCGGAGCCCAACCTGCCAAGCCAGCTTTAAATACAAATACAAATTAATGACATTTTCAGTACTGAACTTATTTTCAACAAAGGAAATGAGGGAAGAGGAGGAAGAATTTTTGGACAGAACGTTCAACCAAGCATGGTAAGGTTTTAATTGGTTGGCTAGTAGAAATAAAGGCTTGCGTAGCATGCATCCTGTAATCTAGCTTGCTGTTTTGAAATTTCTGGAATCCTAGACACAATGTAATATTATAGGCTTCTGGTTGAGATGGGGACACACTCTAGGGTTTTGAAAGACTTAAGAAAGATACCGATGAATCTGGGAAGGAAAGGAGTAATTTCTTCTTAATTTGAGAAGTGTAAGTAAGATGTTCAGAGTTTGGGGGCCATGTCATACCATGGAGGAGAAAGAGGAAAGTAGGGGACACAGAGACCCCTAAGCCTTAAGGAGAGACTCAGACCCTTCCTGAATCACAGCAGAGAAGTATGTCAGAGGGAAGAGACGCAGAGACATTGATCCCATTGGAGGGATTATACGGTCCCATAGAAGTGCGTCTGCTGAGTTTACCTCCCATGTAAGCGAACTGTGAGCACGAGGCAGCCATCCTGCAAAACCTGGGCAGAGAATCAGCATTGCTAAGGTCCCTGGAGTTCTGCTTGGGTAGCTGCTATAAATTCAAAATCCCAGCCTTAGTTTTTTGTTTGTTTCGGGTTTTGTTTGTTTGTTTGTTTGTTTTTGGCAAAAATGGTACCAACATAGAGCTCTCCTGAGAGTAGCCCAGTGCTTCTCAAGAGGAGTGATTCTGCCCCAGAAGACATTTGGCAACATCTGGAGACATTTTTGGTTGTCACAACTGGAGGAGAGTGCTGCTGACATCTAGCGGGCAGAGGCCAGGCACGTGGCTAAACACCCTACAGCATACAGAATTATCTGGTCTCAAGTGTCAATGATGCCAAAGCTGAGAAAGCTCGGTCTCTGCAAACTCGGAGCGTTCTTTTTTTTCCCTCTATTTCTTCCTATAACACAGTACTGTCTTCTCTCTGGAGAGATCCAAACCCAATGTTTTTACTTATGTTTCTTAGTATAAAAGAACTTGCTCCTTAGAGAAGAATTTTCTGTTTCAGAAATCTCAAATGGAAAATGCATTTGAACTAGTACAATATATTAATATTATAATCTGATTAGGATGCAAATTAGAAACCCCTAGAACAGCCCTGATTCAGATTTAAAGATGCCCAGCACAAAGAGACCTTGCCCCCTCTTCCTCTCTGAGATACTCAGACCTTGGCTGAGGATTTGAGAATCACCCTTCAAAAGCAATTTACGAGGGTCTCCTGTGAAGACCAGGGGAGAGGTGGAATAATGAGCAGATGCCTGACACGATGCCCTCTTTCACCCTCCATCGTTCCCCACTTCCTTCAGGAAATGGCCAGAATCTACTCTCACACCCACATAAACACTAGCCCAAGAAAACCAGGCCTATTCCTCCAATTGCTCTTTTATGACCATAACACTCCTATCACTTGATGCCCTTCAGTTCACAAGTTCGGCTTCCAGAAGGTTTTCTCCACTTGCCCCCCACGACCTCCTTCTTTACAAACCCAGACCATTTCCCCACTAGGGGGGCCCTTGGTCACTGTCCCCTTAGTGAAGCCAGCTTTTGCCAAGGGCTTGTTTTGCTAAAGATAAATTCACATTTTTGTTCTCTCCTCCCTTCCTCTTCTGCCATTTTAACCAAATGCAGATTGAAATGATTTCTTCGTAGTTGCTCATACTGTCCCTCAAAACAGGAAGATGATTAAGTGTTCTGACCACAGAGCCTTCATTTTCAGGTTCTTCTTGTTTGAGGAAAATGAAATAGAGTGATTTTATCAACCATGGTTTAAGTGAGCAAAGGGACACTGCCATTACAAAAGTGTCACTAATTTATTCCTGATGAATAGCAAAAGCCCTTTAGATTCCATAGTGGGGATGTGCTCTGTTTTAGTTCTTATTTATATCACTAGTCCTGGCTTTGATTTATTTTGTGCTGGCACCACCCTATGTCTCCAGCCTCGGAGGTGTCCCTCTTTCAGTCCTTGAAACATAGAAAGGTCACTCTAGCCTTAGCCCCTCAGTTCCTGCTCCTCCTCCTCAGAGATCAATTTCCCCTGGTTCAGCTCAGGGCTGGCTCCTATTATTAGCTTAATTACCACCTCTTCAGCAAAAGTGTCACCTCCTCACCTCTCAGACTACCCTCTTATTATATGACCCCCTCATTTTTTAAATCACAGCATCTGATCTTTTCCTTCAAAATATTTATTACCTGAGTATAATGATAATTATATGCATATATGCTTAATTATCTGCCTCCCCCACTGCTCTGCAAGCCCCATGAAAAACTGAGCTGGCTTTTTATCACTGCTTCTGCATAGAATGTATAAGATAAACAGCATCACTGGGAGAGTTTCATTCTCCTTTTATCTTTACTGATCACATTATTTCTTCTTTAAGGATCTTTCAGATTTCTCGCTGCCTTGCCCATGACCACCAGCCTAGTTTAGACGCTACATCCCAGACTTTATACAATGTCTCTTGGCTGCTTTTCCTCCTCTCTCATTCCATCAGCTTTCCTAAATGACCACCTTCAACGTGTTCTTCCTGAGTTAAAGACTATATGTCAAGTCCTAACTTCTGTGTCCAAGTGCCAAGGTTTCCCTAATAGGAACGCACCTCACCCATCTCATTTCACTTCTCCTCATTCTTCCCAAAGTCTGGTCTTGCTATGCTATCCCAGAACTCGGCCATGCCACTCCCCTTGGTCAGCCAAAGTGAGCAGTACTGTAAATGTAAAATACCCGCTGGGCTTTGAAGACTTCATAAAAATAAAGAATATAAACTATCTCATTCATGATTTTTATATCGAGTACATGTAGAAGTAATATTATTTTGGATATATTGGGTTAAATAAAATCGACTAGTAAAATTAATTTCACCTATATACTATTTTTCACATATATTTGCTATATTAGTAGAAATAACTTCACAAATCAACTAAATTTATTTATTCTTCCTCCCCCCCAAGTTGTACTGAGGTGTAATTGACATACTATTTGTTCTCTTTTAAATGTGGTTATTAGATAATATAGAATTGCCTATATGGCTCGTATTTGTGGCTCACATTACTTATCTCCTGGACATGGTTGCTCTATACCCTCATGAGCTTTTTCTCCCCTGCCTTGCCCTGTACCGTCCTTTTTCCTGAGATGCGCTGTTCCCTCATCTAACTGAAGACCATCCTGGTAGGCCTAGGGCTTAGCGCAGTGACAGGATACCCAGGGACCCTCCATATGACATTGCTGAGGATGATCACAGAATCACAAATTGTCTTCTCAGAGCATCAGGGCTGTAAAAGGCACTTTGATGCTGAGCCCAGATAAGCACAGCATACACATGCAGCTTCCTGGTGGTCAGTTCAGGGCTATTTGTCACTTCCTTGTAGCTGCAGATTCCCCTGAGGCCCTTAATACAATTCCAAGGGGCTTTTATTCGGTCCATTGTTTCTCGAGATTCTTTGAAAGTTAATGGAAAACAACACAGTCTTGGTATCCCAGCCTATATCATCTGGGGATTAACAGAATTCTTTGTGAAGACCTTGCAAAACAAGCTTTTGAATACTGTTGTTCTCCAGGCTTTATTTGTGTTCTTTAAAATTAACTGCAGAAACAAGACAACAACCTTCTAACACAGTTCAGTTATAATATAGACCAGTCCTGTTAAATAGAATTTTCTGATAATGGAAATTTCCAATATGGTAAGTGAGAGCTACATGTGGCCATAAAATTTTCATAAATTTATATTTATTTACACGTAAATGTAAAGTGTATTTATATGTAAATACACATGGGGCTAGTGGCTACATTTTACACAGTGCCACTCTATTCCAAGGTGTCCTAAAAAGAAATGTTTCTCTTCCTTCTAAAATTAGGGAGATCATGAACATTAAGAATCACTGGAATAATAACAAATTTGTACCATTTCCATTCTAGATGACATTCTTTATATTTCACTAAATAAAAAATTAACATTATTAAATTAATTTTCTTACAGTCTAAGATCTCATGCCTAAATTTTTTCATGTGACAATTAGGTTAACTTTCACTAGATGATACACTAAGTGAAATGGATTTTATCTTCATCTTGGGTAACAGGTGCAGGCTTTCATCTTTATTATATTACTAGTCCACAAAGTTAGGACTGTCAACAGTTATTGTCTGCTACTTGAGATGACAGCCAACAGCAAAGCAAATTGCCAGCCAGTGATTACCTGGGGGGAGGGTGGGCAGGGAGGGTAAAGCACAGAGCACAGGGCTCCAGAGAAACGCTGCTTTCTGAATTTGCTATAACCTCCTCCTTTGTGTACTTCTTATTCTGCTTCTCCCAATCTTAAAAATGGTCAAACACATGAGGGAGGCACTGAGCCTGTGATGATGATAAAGATGCTGCTGCTGCTGCTAACAATCGTAGTAGCAGAAGTAGCTGCCAACACTGAGTCCTCACTGTGTGGCAGGCACTAGCTAAGGACTGTACACGTTACCTTTTCTCTCTCTCAACAATCTTGGGTCATTCTTGGTCACAAGTGTACACTGGGCCTTCTGCTGGGGTACTGAGCTTCCAGAAACAATGAGAACTGTCTTTACAACTGGACAGATGAGGGAGCAGGATATCTGAACAGGACAAGCTCAATGGCCCAGGTCAGCAAAGACTATAATATTCTCCTGGTGAAAACAGGGAGGGACAGTGTAATATGCCAAAGGCAAAATCAAATGGTGACTCACCTGTTTCTTGTAGTAACTTACAAATAAGAATATTTCATCTGATGTAGGAAATTAATCAAGGGGAGCCCCCACCCTCCAAGTCACTACTTTTTGGTTTTTGTCAATACTTAAAGAAGCGAACTATCTTAAAGACATGAGCATATTGGATTTTAGACATTTAACTTTCATCTTTCTGTAAGTATAAACAAACAAAAACTCCAAGGAAAAACCCCACTTTAGTAACTACATAAACATGACTGTTTTTTTCCATTTTAAGCCTCTGACCACAAAGTGCCAGCACTGAGAATGAACCAGTCTGGGCAAGATGTGGGCCTGCTGGCAGGAAGCCACACCCAGCAACCAGAAATTTATTATGACTCTGGCCAGTTCATCTTAATGAGAACACAGTCAGTGTTGGAGGAAATAAAATAAACTTACAATAAAAATATATTTATGAAGCAGTTTCAAGGCAATGGATTTAGCTAAATTGACGTTACTAATGAGTTCCTTTTCTTATGTGCACAAGGGGTCAAAGAGAGTAAACGCAAGGAGGCAAAGTTAAGAAACCTAGAATTTTGAAGCCAGTCAACATTTGAAAACTGTGTGAATTCATGGTGAATAGTGGGAAATATATAAAATATACTTCATCATTTCTTTAAACTCATCTCTCCACCAACACACACATTATCTTCTCAGTGGTTCTCTACCAGGGTTATTTTGTCCTTCAGGGGACATTTAGGAATGTCTTGAGACATTTATGGATGCCATTCAACATCCACAGTGTACACTACTGCCCCCGACAACACAGAATGACCCACGCCCCAGTCAGCAGTGTCTCGGTGGAGAATCCTTGCACATGGACATGGACGGTAACTTGTATTTCAGGAGGGGAAGGAGATCGAGAGGTTCCAGGGAAGACCATGTGCTGCCTCACTTGTTCTTCTGCGTTTACAGCAGAGCACACACGTGGCAAAGTGGTCAGCTAGAAGTAACTGCAATTTGTAACTAGGGATGAAATATTCCAGAACATGAAGCTACTGAGCTTGCAAACATTAATATGCACCTTCCAGAACGTTAAGATTCAAAGAAATAATTTGCAGTCTGTGGATCAACATTAGCAAGGAGATAATTGCTAACAAGAAACAATAACAGGTTCTAAAGTATTTGAAACTGGGACATCTTCCTTTTTCTATTTTTGCATGACATCATTCTAACATGTTAAAATTCGTCAAGAAAAAAACTTTCCAAACCTTATTGTGGTAATCATTTCGCAATATATACACGTATCAAATCATCAAGTTGTACCCCTTAGATTTACACAATGTTAAATGTCAATTATATCTCAATAAAGCTAGGAAAAAAAGAACTTTCCACATTTCAGAAGACAAATAGAGAAACAAGTAGCTATTTTCAGTTCTTATGGCATATAATCCCACTCTGGAATGCCACTGACATAGTATGTGCAAACACTTAACACACACGTGATTCTTAGGAAACAACCAGCCTTTCGCTGTCTTTAAGGCAGTGGTGTACTCACAGGCTCGGTTCCGGGTTCTGTAAGTGCAGGTGTAGAGGCTGCAGGGCCTCACTGGCATGGACCTCGGAATCTGGAATCTTCTCCACGGTGACTTGCATGGAGAGGCTTGAAGAACGGCCCTCAGACAATTCATTATCTCCATCTTTAGCTTGAAATCTTGATCAGTTCCCAAATAACTTGCAGGAATCTAATAACCTAGAGGCAGGAGGACAGAGGAGGAAAAGCTGTAAACAACAGAGATTGACAGCATGTGGAAACTTCTAAGTAGGACAACATTCAGAATTCAGACTATTAGTACACTGGGGGTCGGCGGGGAGGACCCAAATGAGAGTCAGTAGTTTATCCAGTCTTGTTCCTCAAACTTACTGGTCTCCCCAGGACCTCAGACTGATCTGCTTCCCTCGTATGCACTTCATGCTCCTGCCTGCACACCAGCCATGTGCCCTTTAGTTCTTCCAAATTCCGAGGAAGCTCCCTCCAGCTGGTGCATGTACTCCTCCTTCCCCCAAACCACTCTTCCTCCATCTGTGCCTAGTTAATTCCTACCCTCTCCTCAGGTGATCCACTCCAGCGTCACTCCCTCAAAGCCTGCCCTGACCACATGCTCACCAGGTGAGCCTAGCGCCCTCTTCTCCTTGGTCACCGTGCTTATCTCAGTTGAATTAAATATCTGATCAGGGATGTACTTTACAACTCCATCTCCCCAGCATCTAAGCCCCATGGTGGTAGGGACTGTGTCTGTCTGTCATAGCTGCATCTCTTAGGGACACAATGCCTGGGACATGATGGCTGCTCAGTGAGGATTAGTGGAATGACCTGAGTGGTGAAGATGTTGATCCTAATTTCAAGAACCCAGAACTGTGAAGTGACTGCCAGCATGTTCTCAGACAGTATTAAGTGTTTTTCCTTTTCCTAGATGCCACCATCACCCATTTGTAATTTTGAAACACTTTTAAATGCTTGTCATTTAAGAGGAGGGTCTCATACCCTACCTATAATATCTGAAGGATCCCCAAAGTCCTTCCTGCCTAATCTGAAAGAGGAACCTACTCCAATATGAACCTAGCCTAGTCTCACAGGGATGAGAATTCTGCCAGCAAACACTTTCAACATTCACTGTCATTTCCTTTGCTCTAGGCACCGTGCTGGGATGCAAAGATGTACAAGGCATGAACTCTACCTTCCCGGTGTTGCAATTTCTCCTCTTTGGAGCCTCTTGAAATGCACATCATATGGGAAGGGAAACACAGACCAATCCAGCTCTCAGCAGGCGTTAGTGCCTCCTCACTTTCTACCTTCAGCCTACTGGAGGCCTCCCAACAGTTTGGCAATGCCGGGGCGGGGAGGGGGGGAAGACAGGTGACAAAAGGCACAAAAAGAGACATTGAGAGAACACTAAGGCACAGGTCACTTACTGACATCAATATTATTCATTCACACCATCTTTCCAAGAAGAATGTTAGATACAAAAAAGCACATGATGATCCCCAGTGATGCTGAGCAAGGAGGTATGCACTCTGATTTCATCCTCCCCTTGCTTCATGTCTTTCACTATTAATTGGCTCTGAACTAGCTCTTTTTCCCCGTACTGCTGCCCTTGACCCTGCTAGATCTGAGCTAGAGGGGAGAAGGCTACACCCAAGGGGAAGGAGAGAAAAATCACACCCGATGTGTGTCCAGTGAAAGCAGGAAGCAGAATTACTTCCTATTACTACCCTGAGAGGAACAAGCGCAGGCTCCAGGTAGAACTCTATAACTGCCTAACAACAAGCTATGTCACAGACAAGTATTGTAAAATGAAGGGTGGCAAACAGCCAGCTTTTCAGCCTGGTGCCACGCACTCTGTCGTACGCATCACTTTGCCATTGAACACACTGAACTCAAGAGGCAGAGATGCACCGTCACATTAGAGAGGACTGGCAGGAAGTTCACGAATCCCACGGAGACTCCTCACCTGCAGGCCTAGCTCTCCACCTGCTGTCTTCAGGCCAGTGTATTAATTTGAAACAAAGTACCATCATCTGGCTGGCTTAAGGAACAGAGATTTATCGTCTCACAGTTCTGAAGGCTAGAAGTCTCATCTCAAGGTGTCGGCAGGGTTGGTTCCTTCTGAGAATTGTGAGGGAACTATCTGTTCCCAGCCTCTCTACTCAGGATGGTTAATTTTATGTGTCAGTCTAGCTAAGCAGATGTCCAGGGTACACAGTGGAAGGTGGAGCTGGATGGGGATTTGAGATTAATTCGGGGAATATGAATGTCCAAGAAACTGGATGACTTTCTGATGTTATTTCACGCATATAGGATGAAGCACTGATGGCTTCTGATGACTCTGTCAGCACAGCACAGGCTGGATGGGAGTGGGCAGAGTGGAGCCAGGAACGTCAGTGATGAGGTGAGTCCTTCAACCATCCTTCATTCACTCCATCACTCTTTCGCCCTTTCATTCATCAAGACATCAATGAAACATCTATTAAATGCAAGAAACTGTTCTAGGCTCATCAGGGGACTAAAACAAAATCCCTATCCTTGTAGAGCTTACATTCTAGTAGGAGGAAACAGACAATAAACAGCAAGTGTATAAATGAGTAAATTATGGAGAAAATTAGAATAGGTTCAGTGAAAAGTAGAGCAGGGTAAGGTGAATTTGGAATGTTGCACCTTAAAAAGCTTCTCAGGGCAGGCCTCAGAGTAGGGCAAATTGAAGGGAAGACTAGAAGGAGATGAGGGAATTAGTCACGCGGCTATCTAGAGGAAGGGCATACATACAAAAACATAAATATATAATGTGCAAATATATATAAAAATATAAACTAGTGCAAAGACCCTGAGGTAGGAGCTTGTCTGGCACATACAAGGGACAGTAGAGAGGCCAATATGGGCAGGAGTGGAGTGAACCAGGAGGAGGGTAGTAGGACATGAGGGCAAGAGATAATGGATGCCGATCAAGTAGACTTCTAGGCCACTGTAAAGGTTCTTTCTTTAACTCAAGGTTTCTTAACCTCGACATTGTTGACATTTTTGACCAGATAACTCTGGTGTAGAGGACTGGTCTTTGCATCGTAGGATGTTTAGCAGCATTCCTGGTCTCTACCCACTTGATGCCAGTGACACCCTCCCTCCAACTGTGACAACCAAAATGTCTCCAGACATTGCAGATGTCCCTTGGAGAAGGAGGGGTCACCTCTGATTACAAACCATTGCTCTAAGTGAAATGGGGACACAATGGAGTTTGTGTGCCGCAGGACAGAATCTGATTTGCAGTTTTAAAAGATCATTCAGGGCGCCCTCCTAGAAACTGACTGGGATGGGAGGCAGGAAAGAAGCAGAGAGATCATTCAGGATAGTCCTGGCGCTGGAAGTAAGGATGTCACAGTGGACGTGGTGAGAAGTGATTGGGTGTTACCTATATCTTGGAGATACACCCCATAAGACGTGAAAGGAAGGAGTCAAGGATGACTGGAAGATTCTTGGGCTAAGCAACTGGAAGGATGCAGTTGCCATGAACTGAGGTGAGGATGACAGTGTGTGGAAAGGTTTTGGGCGGGAAATCAGTAGCTCAGATTTGGGCATGTGGAATTTAAAATGAAACTCCAATAATCCAAGTGAGAGACTATGAAGCACTGGACTAGACAGTGACAAAAGAGATGTACAAGGTACTTTGTATTCAAGAGATCACCATTTTGGTAAAAAACAGAGGGTTTGGCACTCAACTGGAAGACAGAAAAGGACAGGAGATGAGGAAGGCCTTGTGATTTTACAGCTGGAGTGGTGCTGGTGGTAGGATGAGGACGGATCCCTGAACAGAGAGGCAGAACCTGGCGCGAGGAGCAGGTGGGAAGGGGAAGATGGCACTCTTACTGCTAACCACCTTGGATTTGAGGCGCCAAGAGAGCAGGCGAGGGGAGAAGTCTAGGAGAGAGTCGGCAGTGCAGCTCTGGTGCTCAGGAGAGGTCATGAGGCTAGAGACAGAAGGAAAATCTCCTCTCCCCAGGAGTAACGGGCGTATAGAGGGGGGCTGACAAAATAGAGTGATTAAGGAGGCCAAGAGATGGTGAAGGAACAGTCAAAGGCAATCAAGGACGGAACCGAGCATGGAAGGTCGGGCGAGCAGGCTTCCCGGAAAATCCAAATGAACAGAAACTCAAGTTAGCTAATGCTAGGCTACAACACCTGTAACAACACAGAAGGTTGTTTATGTCCAGGCATATGCTTCAGGAAGAAAGATGCTTATCAGAAAAGCGTTTATGAATTTGCACCTAGACTATAAACTGCAAAATTTAGCATTAAATACATACTAATAGCCATTATTAAATAGGCTCCAGGTGAGTTCTGGAATGTATAAATGTAGAATGTATTTTCTCAGTAAGTTATATTTTGTAGTACAGGCACAGGAAAAATAGGTAACACTGAATGAAATTATAAATGTTTTATATTATTATCAACCATTGTCTATGAGCAAGAAATAGTTCACTAGAAGTTTTAGACCAAAAATACTTCTCTTTCTCAAAAGCACATATTCAAAATAAAAGGATTCTAAATACATAAAACAATGTTCATGTTGACAAACACATTCAATAATTACAAGTCAGCTGTGGCCTTAGGGCTTTAAGAACAAAATTATACACCAAGATATAAAAATATGGACACTTGAGAGAACAGGTGTATACTATTTAAGGCCAGCACTGCTGCCTAAAGCCAATGATGGTTGTTAAAATAATTTATCAAGAGGTGATTATTTACCCACCTTACCCAGTGATCTCATAAACCCCAAGCTTGTGAAACCACAAATAGTGATTAATCCTCAAACACAGCACACAACAATGAACTACTAGCACACATTGCTGGATTTCACAATCTGTCTGCCCTTAAGTCTGTCCATAAAGTTGGGACCATAGGCAGGATGGGTCCCAGGGAAGGTAAACTTTGTGTGCTATATGCTCTTGCTATCACTGATTATTTATGTATGTCCTTGGGTTTTACTTAAACGTACCTTATCTGCTGTTTTGCAGACTTACAAATGTGTGAAAAAAGAAAAGATTCTAAAAGCCCTTTAAAATAATTCATAAACCATGTATTTATTGAATGCCTCGGCTAGAACTCTGCCTGATCAAGCTATTTATACATATGCAAAACAGACACCAAAAAAAAATTACTTACTAAAGGTTACAATTGCATTTTGAAAAACTCCTTGATTCTTACCAGATCGCCCCTTCATTTTCTCACCTCCTGATTTAGAAAGGAAGTCAGCCTTTTGCAATTCTCTGAAATTTAAATTCGAGGGTATGTTTCTATGTCTTGATTGAGAAAGTTCAGCATCCTCCTCTCACACACTTCTTCCCTGAGAGCATGATCCCAATCTGGGGTTGCCAAAGGTTTCAAAATACATTACTTAACCTGGTTTGTGTGCTGCAATTAACTGCCCTATAGCAGCCAATGAAATGAAATGCATTTCCCTCTTTTCATCAGATTTCCCCAATAGTCATATTTAATCAAAGATCGCTCAACTTTTATTGTGTTCCAACCATGAGTGGTGGCAGCCTTTTGCCTGACTCCAGAGACAAGAGGGCAGGTGTGTACAAGCACAGGAATGGTGCTCTTGCTGCTTTCGCCCTTTAGGTGAATTTTAGTCCTGGTACTGAGTTTACAATTTCTGAGTAAAGGAAGAAAGCTCTAGAAAGCTGAAAGGTTTCATTTCCAAAATACTCAAGAACAGTGCAGCTCTTTACCAGGGCCCAGAAGGGAGGGCTTAACTTTTTGGTTCACTGTAGATTCCAACGGAGGCTGAGAACAGTGACTGCTCTGAGGTGTGTGCAGGGATACTTATGGTAGGGTATGGGGCAGACTCTCTCACCAGAGAGTTCTGACTTCTCTCCATACGCCAGCAAGAGTTTTTTTTTTTTTTTTTTGGTGAGGAAGATTAGCCTTGAGCTAACATCTGTGCCAATCTTCCTCCACTTTATATGTGGGTCACCATCACAGCACAGCTGACAGTAGTGTAGGTTCGTGTCAGGGATCCGAACTGCCAACCAGGCCACCAAAGCGGACCGTGCCAAATTTAATCACTATGCCATGGGGCGGCCCCCAAGACTTTTAAATAGCAGAATGGAGACGACCAGACTGTCAGTAAAGGAAAAAGGGCAAGGAGAAAAGTGTGGTTTTCAGTAGCTGACAGAGAATAAATTCTACCCAAATTAAGGTATACACATCTTGGTTATCTCCCCATATTTTTCAAACTTTCTCAACAAAGATAAACGAGGTAAAACTATACTGATAATATAATAATATAACATACCAATATATATTGTAGTATATAATATATAAGTAAATAAAAATATTATATAATTATAACGATAATTATAATAAACGAATTTCCAGCAGCCTCAGAGCAGTAGCTCTTAACTCATGCCACAAAGAATCATAGCCACCAACAACGTTTGTATTTTGTAGGTTCTTCCCCTCCAGCTCTGGGGCACAAAAGAAAAAGGATAAAAAAAAAGAATTGAGGAGTAGAGAAGGCTCAGAATTGCCCACAAGGGACAGCTATGCTGTTGCTGTTGACCCCCTGCCCTGGGATTGGCTGTGAACCTGCCCATAACCCTCGGCATAGGCAGGGGGAAGATCAACAATGCAGTTCTGAGTAAGTCTCAGCTTGCGGCGTCTCAGTGTCTGGAACTACAACCACTTCACTTCCCCAAGTCTCTGGGACAGCTGTTCTACCTTTAAATAGAATTCTAACCGGAGTGTAGCTATCTGGTGATCCTCATAGTGGAGGAACAAGAGTAGAGTGGGGAAAGAGCGATGCCTTGCCTCCTCTCGCCCATTCCCCAGAAAAACCCCGCCGGGACTGTGGGCCTCCTCGCGCGGCCCTATCGCAGCGCGTAGCCATGAGGGGCAGAAGATCCCTGTCCTCTCTGGTAGGCTATGACCCCCTGCTGACCACGCTCCACACAGCAGCGCTCCCTTACCAGAACGTTTCCCTGAGCGCGAACCCCTCCGCTCGCTACCGGGAGAGGCTCATGCGCGCGGCCATCTTGGCTACGCCCCCTTGCGCCTCGCCACGCCCCTCACGCCGGGAGACGTCATTTCGCTTCATACGTCACGCCAGCGTCCACCCGGCCCACGTCCCCGACAAGGCCTTAAGTCCCGCCCTGGCCACGCTCCTCGCGTCGGAGCGCCAAGTTGCTGTCCACTCAGCCAGGATCTGGATTTCCCCCCCTGCTCTCTGCCCTGGCTATATCTCTACTGCCGTCCCTCCGTGCCTTCAGGCGCGCTAGCTTGGCCCCGCCCCTGCTCTCCGCCTAGGCCCACCCTTCAGAGCTGGACCATCTTTGTCAGGCCCCTGAGAACGGCAAAGCCACGCCCCCACATTGACGGTACGTCCCTGCGCTCCGCCCACACGACAGCCTTTATTCCTGTTTCGTCATGAGCATCCCGCATGCCATTCCATGACCCGGCGTCTCCGTCGGTGGCCCCGCCCCTGCCCTGCGTCCTTTCACATCCCTGTTAACCACGCCGGTCACGCTCATTCTGTTGACCCCACGTCCCTCCCTGAGCCCATTTCCCTACTTTCCACTCTAGTAATTCCTCTGCTGCCCTCTGCCTGATCTCACCCCTCCCACAATCTCGACCAGTTTTGTCATGCCCTGACGAGCCGCCACGCCACGCCACGCCCTTCACGCAACAACTAAGTCCCACGTCTTCAGGTCATGCCCCTCCCAACAGTGCCGTCGCCGGCGTGGTTTCCCACGGTGTCCAGGCCCCGCCCCTCAGGCGCGGGTCACAATTCTTCTTGCGCTCCCCGCCCCTCCTTCTTGGCCAATCCCGGCGCTCTGCCCTTGCCACGCGGCACGACTATGCGTTATACATTGGCCAGGCTTGTCCCGCGCATGCGCATTTCCCCGCGTTCCGTCCTGGCCACTCCCTGAGTTCCCAGGCTGTTCGGTTTCACTTCTACTCTGGCTGGGTGCGCGGCGCTTTATCTCCCCCTGCTGGTGGAGCCTAGTCCTGGGAAGCCACGGAGGAATGGGAGGGGCCCACAAGTTTCTGAAGAAAACCGTCCAGGTCTCAGAGCTAGACTTCAGCGGCATTTGTAGAGTGAAACGGGCCTGCGGATACCTGATCCCGGTCTAAAAATTGACTTTCTTCATATTTCTCCCAGCTCCAAACCCCACAACTCCATGAGCAGAAACCGGGTAGGAAACATAACCGGGGACCGACTGGAACTGTGTTCCTACCAGCCCCCCAGCAGATCTTAAGTGCTAGGCGGATGCATGGCGTTAGCACACTCCTCTGCTTCCTGATGTCTCCTCCCGATGACTTTCCCTAGGCACCTAGTGCCCTCTTGCTGTCTTGGGCCTGTGGAGGCAACACCACACTTAGACCCTCATAGGGGAGGAACAGGGTTCGACGTCTGTTGGCGGTGGGGTGGGAGGGGACCTGGGCCCCGGACCTGCTTTAAGATTAATCTTTATTCCCTCCATTTACAATTCTGAGTCCACAAGAAAAAAGTGAAAAGGTTATTACCAGGTTTTTTTTCTATCCATAAATCTCTAAACGGGCACACCTTGGAGAAGGGCATTTTCCATTAGCCATTCAGTCATTCATTCGTTTAAATCTTGTTTATAGAGTACTATGTTCCAACGACAAATAAGACAAACCTCAAGGAGCTTACAGCCTGAAGTTTCCCACCTTAGGTTTGGATGAGACGAAAACTGATGAGAAAGTAAGGAAGGTGTAGTAAGGAGGTTGGCTAATAGGTGCAAAAGGACTTGGTAAGTGCTGGTCTCTCTCTCTTTTTTTTAAATTCAAGTATAATTGACATATAACATATTAGTTTCAGGTGTACAAAATAATGACTCAATATGTGTATATATTGCGAAACGATCACCACAATGAGTCTAGTTAACATCCATCACCACACATATAATTTTTTTTCTTGTGTTGAGAACGTTTAAGATCTACTCTTTTAGCAGCTTTCAAATATGCAGTATGGTATTATTAACTATAGTCACCATTCTGTATATTACATCCTCCTGACTTATTTATATTATAACTGGAAATTTATGCCTTTTGACCACCTTCACACATTTCGCCCACCCCCCACACCCTGCCTCTGGCAACCACCAGTCTCTTCTCTGTATCTATGAGTTTGGTTTTTATTTTTGTTTGTTTTTTAGATTCCACATATAAGTGAGATCATCCAGTATTTTGTCTCTCTCTGACTTATTTCACTCAGCATAATGCCCTCCAGGTCCATTTGTTTGTTTGTTTTTGAGAAGCACAGTTTTTCTTGATTTTTAGTCTGAAGGGAAATCCTGATTCCTCATCATGATGATACTGTGAACTAAACAGGAAAGTGTCATAAGGAGTTTCATACAGATCCCCTCGATGTAAACTGTTGCCGCAATTAGAAAGCACGGTGCGTTAAATCAGTGCAATGAACCGCCCAAACTTTCTTGTTGGTTCAAGATCACAGAGCTTCAGTGGTATGGCTTTATTCAGGGCGGCTTTAGATCATCATTCCCTATGATGGCAAGTAAGTTTCAACTCACATGTCAACTGAATAACTGCCTTGGGAAGTTTTGTGGCTGAGTTCATGCTCAGGAGAGAGAAGTTCTGTAATAGATTAACAGTGTCTGTTGTGGGTGAAGGATGGATGAAAGGCTGCAAGCAACCATCTATCTGGCATCTCTGATTTATAGTAATAGAGGTCTTGCATGCATATCTTTTAGGTGGTCCTCAAAAACAACATTTCTTTCTTTCTTTTTTATTTTTGAGGAAGATTAGCCCTGAGCTAACATCTGCTGCCATTCCTCCTCTTTCTGCTGAAGAAGACCGGCCATGAGCTAACATCTGTGCCCATCTTCCTCTACTTTATATGTGGGACGCCTACCACAGCATGGCTTGCCAAGTCCACACCCGGGATCTGAACCGGTGAACCCTGGGCCTCCGAAGCAGAATGTGCGCACTTAACTGCTGCGTCACCGGGCCGGCACCCAAAACAACATTTCTTAGTATAAAGCTTTTAGTGATTTTCAGACAGTAGAAGGGTCAAGGTCACTGTCGCTGGCCAAAATTTAAGAGCAGAAACTGACTTGTTGATTAATTCGTATGCTTTGTATATCAACCAGAACGAGGGCTGTTTAGGATTCTGTTATGAAAATGAGAGCATCTAACCTAAAAGGTACATGGCCCAATGGCCCCGCCACCTCTTTATAGATGTTGGCAAAGGAAGTACCTATAGGCAAGGCTAGATGTGACTGAGTGACACCAACTGGCAGCCAAACAGAAGATTAAGGATGAGAAACACTACTCTCTAGAGCATGGCTGCAATAATTTTAGCCTAGAAAAAAATCATGACTTGCCAAAACTATGAGAAAACTCTTAATATAACACCCAAGCAACAGTGCAAAGAGTTAAACGTGTAGGAAGAAATGTCAGTAAAGTCTTGCTTTTACTACATGGGACTCCTTATGATGTATTGGTCTTCATGCGCAGGATGAGACACGCAGGCACACATGCATTCCATTTCAGAAGCTGTCCTTTCAATTCCTATCTCAGAAATGCAAAGTTGGCAGAATTACACTCACTCAGTTTATCTGAATTAATCTTTATTTCTAAACAGTAGAGATTAACTTTCTCTGAACTAGTAAAATGTTACCCTGTGGAAAAAAAGACAAAGTTCATAATGGTTATGGCTGTTGATTAGCCTGCAAAATTTGATGAGTCTTCCAAATATCGTAGCTTCACATTTTTTTTCTCACCTTAAAAAGGGCTTAAAGTATGGGAGTGGAGACAAAAATATTCCAAAGCCCAGAGTTCTTTGTTTACCAAAGATACTAGAATTTGTTTTTCTCTGGCTAGGAATGTAAAAATAAAAATTGCAGTGTACCTCATGATACTTCATTTCCACAGTCTCAAGCTTCTTAGAATGCCAATTTTGGATTCAAATAAGTCAATTTAATTTTATTAAATTACCAAATATTCATGGCCCATGAGAAATGCAAAATTGATCCAAATATTGTCTTTGCTCTCCAGGAACTTAAAATTTGTAAGACACAGAAGCAAATCATGTTGGTGATAGATGTGTGTACAAATGTGAACAAAATGCCGTGTGAATACAGGAGAAGGAGAGAATAAAAAATTAGTAGATTGGACAAGTCTACAACAAATAATAAAAATCTATAATAAAAACAAAAGAAAAAGGTTTCTCAAAGGAGGTGATAATTGAGATGGACCTGTAACAATGGCTAAGATGTTTAAAGGTGAGGAATGAAAACTCACAGTATTCAAGTTAAGGAAATAGCATGAGAACACAAAGGATAGAGGTAGGACATGGCCCACTGCAGGACTAGCTGGTGGAATGGCTCAGAGGAAGATGGGAAGCGTCATCAGTGTAGATGCACCTGAAAAACCAAGTTGGGTTCAGATCTTAGAGGCCAAAGAGTTTGTATTCTCTGACATAGGCCCTGGGCTGCTGATGAAGATTTCAATGTGAATGACTTCAATGTAAAAGACAAGAAGAAGGACAATGGAAGGTAGGAAGAGCGTTCAATGACAGTGAGTTTTAGATGTGTCTGTACTTACTAACCATGGGCTCTTGGACTGGAAGCCCATATGTGCCCAGGGCTCCAGCAACCAGGCAGTTATTCTTTCTCATTAGCCATCTTAATAAAAAAAATGAGTTTATTTTAATAATAATTTCAGAATATGGAAGAAATGATGTTAAAATCTCATAGGATGCTTGATTTTACACACACAAACATATTTGGTTCCCTTTTATCTCCTGTTCTTCCTTGTGTGAGTTATTCCCATTAAGCCAAACAGAAGGAGAGAAAAGGTACCACATAAAGGCCTAAATAATGTTTCTAAAGTTTGTAGGATGTTCAGCAGTGTCCCGGGCCTCTACCCACTAGATGCCAGTAGCACCCCTCCTCCATTTGGAGACAACCAAAAATGTCTCCAGACATTGCCAAAATGTCTTTTTGAGGAAAAAATCCAACCCTCCCTCTCCCAGTGGAGAACCACTGAGTTAAAATATAATATTTTTCATGACAGACAAAAATAATTTATCTCTCCATGCGTCTTAGTACTGACAATTTAAGGAGAATAACATGTTTTACCTCCTAATTATACTGAAAATATCAGACTAATTGCTATAAACATCTTGATATTGTTTATTATAATGTATATCGATTTCATTCCAATTTAAACGATGAAAGATCACATTTATTCAAAATTCTACAACTTCTATAAAATTATTGAGTGGAGCCATTAGTTTAAAAGTGCAAAGTTTTTGTCTTATGAAAAGTTCCCATGTTCAGCTATTAAAGGTTTTATTTGATTTCTTTTAATGTGTCACAGCCAGTTGTATTTCCCAAAACCCAATAAAAAATGTACGGAGTAAAGTTACATTTGAAATGGTTTGGTTTCACAGTTTACTGTAGTAGATTTAGGTGCTACAGGTTTAGTAAATGTCTGTTTGTGACAATGAAACAGAATACTCAGGGTCAAAATTCAAAAGCGACATTGGTCCTCCCTGCCTCTTGTTTTATTGCAGGTAAATGGAGTATACATATGCTCCAATGAACTTTAAAAGGCCTCTTGCGTGAATCAAAAGAATGATTCATGTGTTTTCTTTTCATGTGATCTCATATTTAATTTACCCTCCAGAGCAATAGATCAATAGTTGTGTGCCAAGAAACTGCTTTTCAATAGTGTTGTGTAGTACGAAAAAACATGGAGAAATCAATTTCTTTTTCCTGTCTGGAGTCTCAGTGCCTTTTGTATTGCTCATAGCAACAGTAATCTCAACTTTTTGTCTACATTCTCTAAACCCTGAACATTGGAAGTAAATGGTAACATATTCAGAATGATTGAAATGGCTTTATTTGTCATTGTTACCACTGTTACTGCTAAATTATTAAGCTCGTATATGAAGCTGGTGAAATAAAGCAAGTTTACTATGGGTTCTCTGGAGGTTTAATACTTAAAATTGTCTATGAAAATAAAGACTAAGTTTGTGCAAGGTTTTGAAAAGTGGAAGAAAAAAACACAGTGTGTTGAGAGACAAGAACAATAATATCTAGTTCTGTGTTCCACCTATTTTATTGAGCTATCTATCAAGCTCTTTAATTATTAAATCATTTTTAGCTCGTTCTAAGTGATCCATACCTTGTAAGAGTCTTCATATTTTAAGTCAATTTATTGACATCTTATTTTATCATTATACTTTTTCTATTCACCTGAAGGGAGCTATAAAAGTTGATATTTTTAATCATTCCCTTTTTGGCTGCTGTTTCTTTTGCTATTGTCAAATACCTTTTCTAAGCAAATACTGGGATATAGAAAAATTAAAACTGTAATTATAGACTATTTAGAAAATAGGAATGAGATCACTGTACATTTATACTTCCTCTGTCATGTGGCCAGAACACTACTCCAAGGAAAATTGATAGCCACAGATATTTTCATTATTAACTGAGAAAGATTAAAAATAAATAAGCCTATTAGCCAACCCACAAGTTATAAAAAGAACAAGAAAACCAGTATAATGACAATGGGACTTCATACATGTACATGAGATTGACGAATCAGAAAGTAAAGAATTGAAAATTAAATCCAAGATTTTATTCTTTGATTAAACAACAGCAAAAATAGATAAAGCTCTGGCAAGAATAATGAGAAATGAGAAAAAAATTAATATATACACTAGAATACATAAAGGGAATATAGCAATGAATGTAGATATTTTATGGGAAATATTGTATAAAGTCCATGAGAATACTGGGAAATCTTTATTTATTTATTTGTTTTTGCTTTTTCTCCCCAAATCCCCCAAGTACATAGTTGTATATTTTTAGTTGTGGGTCCTTCTAGTTGTGGCATGTGGGACACCACCTCAACATGGCCTGATGAGCAGTGCCACGTCTGGGCCCAGGATCCGAACTGGTGAAACCCTGGGCCGTTGAAGTGGAGCACATGAACTTAACCACTTGGCCATGGGGCCAGCCTCTGGAAAATCTTAATGAAATGAATGATCCTCTTGGAAATTGTAACCAGCCAAAATGGACTCAGAAAGAAATATGAAACCTGCAATAAATGACAATATAAAAAAATGATTTTTTTTTTTCTGGTGAGGAAGATTGACTCCAAGCTAACATCTGTTGCTGGTCTTCCTCTTTTTGCTTGAGGGAAGATTGTCCCTGAGCTAATATCTGTGCCAATCTTCCACTTATTTTATATGTGGGATGCCACCGCAGCATGGCTTGATGAGCAGTGTGTAGGTCTATGCCCAGGATCTGAACCCGTGAACCCCAGGCCGCCAAAGCAGAGTGTGCAAACTTAACTGGTATGCCACCGGGCTGGCCTCAGAAATGAAAATTTTGAAAGAACTCTTCCCCCAAAATATATATGGTCCAGATTCTTCAACTCTGAATTCTTTATTTCTTCTGCATTTTTAAGTGTTTGTAAACATAGACAATGTTAGTAATCTTTCTATACCATTTTCAGGATGGTAATATAAGGGCTGGAAAAAAATAAATTTGAAGAATCAGAACTTGAAAAGGAACCCAAGTGATATTCTTCTATGAAAAAAAGTTTTAAAAAATCTAAGGAAAACCACAGCAATTAAGTCCAGAAGCATGTTAAAATCATCAAACTGAGCTGATATAAGGGTTGGATCAATGTAGTTTATTAATATAATGCACCAAACGATAAAAACTCTGGAATCATATTAATAGATGCTGAAAAGGCAGTTGAGAAAATTCGTCACCAATTATTGATAAAGAGGATTTTTAGTAAACTAGAAATAAAAGGAGACTTTAGTCTCATGACATCATATTCAAAGTGACCCACCAGACCCTGTGGAGGAGCAGCATTCCCATTAGAGTGAGGAAGAAGACAAGGGTCCATGTTATTCCCACCATTACATCACCCTGTTTTGATAGTGCTGCCACAATGAGACAAAATAACAACATCACACAAGAACACACAAGAAGATCCAAGGCTAAGGAAAGTGTGTTTCAACTGTTTAAATATATTAACATTGGTCATTCATGCTGGTGGTATTATGGATATTTTGTACTTTTCTCTTTTTGCTTCTCTATTTTCTGTACAGAACTACTTTTTCGATCTTTTTTTTATCGTTCTTTTTTTTATCATTTTTAAAATGGGACAAGAACATTGAGAAATCATAATTCCAAAGAGAAGAGATTTTCTTCTCTTTTCAAATGAATGGCTTACACTATGATTCAGTATTTCACTGTCTTCAATCCTAGTCACACAAATGACTAAGTAAAAGCAAATGGAGAAGTTAGTTACTTTTAAGAAGTGCAAGATTAAGGGAAAGCTGAATCAGATTTCTATGTCTCTAACATGGCTCTATTCCTAAATGCAAATATTCAGCTTGGTTACCATCTCTATCTATTGGCTTTTCCTTCCCATGATGACTTTATCTAGTCTAACTTTTCCCAAGATAACTTCATCCAGTCTGACTTTGTTTTCAGGGCTTAGTTATGTGAGCTCTTCCTTCTAGGAAGTTGCCGTTTCACCTGATAGTGAAATTGCTAGAATGACTGGGCTAACTTTAGGCTGCTTCTCCCTCTAGTACAATTTTTCCTGACTCTTGTGCCCTTCCAACCAAGGTGAAGGAGAGGAGAAAAAGCTTCCTCAGGTGGAGTCAGCAAACAGAGATGGGTCATCTATGATAAAATATCACCCTAACTAGGAGGGGGAAATGTTAAGACTCTCAAAGTGTTGCAGAAGTGTAGTTGTTGATATTTTTCTGATTGTTGCTGTAAAGATCCAGATTTTGTAGGGCCAGCCCCAGTGACCTAGTGGTTAAGTTCAGCGCGCTCTGCTTTGGTGGCCTGGGTTTGGTTCTCAGGTGCAGATCTACACCACTTATCTGTCAGTGGGTCTGTCAGTGGCCATGCTGTGGTGGCAGCTCACATACAGAAAGAGGAAGATTGGCAGTGGATGTTAGCTCAGGGTGAATCTTCCTCAGAAAAAAAAAAAAATCCAGATTTTCTAGTTAACATCAAGATCACCCAATCTAATTTTTTCATTCATGGTTTTCAAGTAACAAGGTGGAATTTGGGGACCGAATTCATGAAGAGGCAGCATGGTAGAGAGGAAAGGCCAGACATTGACCTGCTGGGGGGCTTCTATTGGCATCTATAGAATGCCCACCAGGGATAAGATTCTCTTCCATTCATTATCTTAATCCTCAGAGCATCTCTGAGGTTTTGTTGCAATTCAGTTTTGACCAACAATGACCCAAGATGCAGTGCGGTTCAGGGTGGTGGAGATAGGGTTCAACTATAAGTCAGCCAGGTTGATAAAGTGACACTCATTCCATTCCCCTCCTTGCCACCAATACCTTAAACACTGGATCCTCAGTTCCCTCATATGTAAGATGATTAAAACAACAGCAATTGTGAGGGGCTGTTTCAAGGATTAGAGAAATACTCTAGCAGACCTAGTTCATGGTAGGTAGCTCTTAATTAGTGTTCTATAGCTGCACAGACCAATGTAATCACTAGCCACACATGGCTAATTAAATTAAATTAATAAAAAGTCAGTTTCTCAGTAGCACTACCCCATTTCACCTGCTCAATAGCCAACTATGTCTAGTGGCTACCATATTGGATAGCGCAGATATAGAGTATTTCCATCATCACAGAATGTTCCATTGGACAGCACTGCTCTATATCATCAACTTTGATTTTACACAACTGCCAGATCTTAGGGCTGGCCAAAACCATTCCCTTTGAGTTGGAAGCTCTCCTCGGATGTTTACCTGCAGAGGTGAGAGTCAGGTGAGGCCATTCTTGGAAGGGTGTCCTTTGTTCACCAGAGATAGAAAGGAGTGATGTTCGTTTCCCAAATTAAGAAGCCTACCTATGAGCCAGATCTTTTAGCCCTGAAGAGGTGGGAAGTTCATGCCAAGGAAAACCTCCAGAGAGGACTGACTTTTTTCCACCATGCACTTAACCAACAACAACAGAAGGGGTGGGGGAAGATTCCGACTTGGAGTCAGCAGAGGAAACATTCTTTGGAGGTAGAGTTTGGAAAGGACAACTGATCTGTTTTCCAAACAGATTTTCGTAAATAACTGACAGGAGATGGGCTGCTTCTATGAAAGTATTAACCCAAATGATGGAGGTTAATCATTAAACCTTTCAGGTGGTGGCTTGCTTGTTTCACTGATATTCTAATCTGGGTCACAGAATGGCTAAGGCAGCTTTAAGTGAAGGGTGGATTTTTTCCCCTCCTTTTGCCTTGTGTTTTACACTCTGAGAGAATGTTGTGGCTGCTCTTTTTTCTGGTGACTGCTATTCATGCTGAACTCTGTCAACCAGGTATGTAGCCTTGAAACTCAAAAATAGATTAACAGTTTTCTAAATGATTGACAAGTCTTTGACTGAAAGACCTCTTTATTTTTCTAAATCTGCGGACATGTTGTGGCTTGAAAGTTGAGCCTGTGACTGTTTCATGAGTTTGAAAGAAAATTTTAAACCGTCTAACATGATTGCAGTTAACTTTCAGGAATATTTGGGGCAGTTTAATTACAGTTCTGTTGATTTGAATTGCATTAAATATTAGGATTCATCAGGCTTTGTTTTGGCAGATTTTATCATCATGTACTGCTCTCTCTTTTTTTCTTTCTGGCAGGTGCAGAAAATGCTTTTAAAGTGAGACTTAGTATCAGAACAGCTCTGGGAGATAAAGCAGTAAGTGGAGAACCTGTGTGTTCACTTTAAATTTTGTTTGCTAATACCATTGTGCTTTCTCTAACAATAAGCCTTTCTGCAGAGTTGTCTTAAACTTGTATAGATTACTTCTAAAGACCTCAAATCTGTTATTTTCTTAAAGTAAAAAATTACAGTAAAACAGAAATTGTTAAGAAAATAACTTTGCCTAAAGTATTTCATCTGCAATGTATGCTAGAAAATATGTGAAGTTTTGTATTACACAAAACAATTTTGCAAACTTGAACATTGCAACCCAGCATAGTGGAGCAAAGGGGCCTGAGTCAGGCACTCAGGTCTGGGTTGGGCTCTGCTCCTCACTGCTATGGTCATTTGAATTTTGTCAGACTCAGTTTTCTAGTCATTGAAAAGAGGGATGTTCCACACACATAAGATCTTTCACAGCACAAAATTCCAGTTCTAGCGTGAAGTTTCTTCAATTCTTCTGAGATATCAAAGTACCAACAGGAAATATATGCTTATGAAATGGAAGCTAAAAAATACTCATGGGGCTTATGTAGCTATAGGAACAATAAAGACTGTCAAATGAATAAGATAGCATTCTGCAATTCTAGTTTCAGTTTTCCAGTGTGGGCTGTGAAAATTTTCCCTAATAGAATGTGATATTAAGGTGCTTCAGACTAGAAACAATAAAAGAGTTTTAAAGAAACTTAGAGGTATTCTGTTTGCAGTTCAATCCACCAATGTATTATTTTATTCACTCAGTGAGTAATAATCATCATAACAGCCAGCATTTATTGAGAACTGAGTTTGCTTTCTAGCTGGGACCCTGCTAAGCACTTTGCTCACATCAGCTCATTCAGCCCTCACAATACCTCTTTGAGGAAGGTAGTATAGGTATTCTCATTCTCAGTAGATGGATGAGAAAACCAAGGTGCAAAGAAATTAAGTGACCTACTCAAGATCTCAAGCCAGCAAATGGCAGAGGTAAGATTTGAACCCAGGCAGCCTGACTGTAGAATCCACTCTCTCTACCAGTGTGTAGGGTTGCTTATCCCAGGATCCTCTGAGGGCAGGCACCATGCTGTATGCTGGGGATGCAATGCAGCTAAAATCAGGCTTGTCCCTGCCCTTGTGGAGCTTATAGTAGTGGGAGAATTGGTTGTCCATTAAATATTCAATGAACCAAATGCGAATGTGCAACCTTGACAAGTATTACAGGAAGGAGAAGTACATGGGGGCTTTGGCCTCATCAGGGGCCTCGGTACCTGGCATTTGCCATGAGGTCTAAAACAGGAGTAGAAGTGAACCAGGGGATAAAAGAAAAAAAGGCAGAGGGAACAGCATGTGCAAGGGCTTATTACAGGAAGGAACTTGGTGAGAGTGTGGGATGGAAGGAAGGCTGAGGTGTCTGGAACTGGAGCAGAGAGGAGGAGCAAGGCACGTGATGAGTTTAGAGAAAAAGGAGGGGTCAGGCCAAAGAATGTGTGGACTGTGTTAGGGAGTTTTGATATTATCTTTAAAGCAAGTGGAAGTTTTATGGAAGAGGCGTCACGGTAGAATTAGTGTTTGGGAGAGACTTGTGCTACAGCGTGGAAGACAGTTTGAAGGGGCCTAGGGTAGAAAAGAGGAATCAGGAGGTGATTGGAGTAGTGTAGGTGAGACATGATGTCCATTTGGAGTACAGTGTGCGGGTGGAGAGAGAGTAGTTAAGGGATTCGAGAGCCACAGGGATGTTGTGACAAGGAAGGGAGAAGGAGGGGTCAAGATGAAGCAACTGGATGGGTGATGGCCCTTTTATGAGTCAGGGAACCAGGTACAGACAAGAACAGGCTTTAATTTTGGACTTGATGAGTTTGAGGCATTATTAACGAATAGGCAAGGACAGAGGGGCTTGAGCTATACATTCCTGAGTCGCTTGCACTAAAGTAATAATGGAAGCTTGGAGTAGATGACCGTTCTGAGGGAGAAAGTACAGAGTGACGGGAGGAAAGGGTCTAGCATAGAGCTTTTAGGTTCTCCAAAACTTGAAGCTCCTGTAGAAGAAGGTGAACCTGTAAAGGGGCAGAGGGACAGGAGGAAAACCAGGAGAATGTCATATTATAAAAAAGAAGAAAATGCTTCAAGATGAAGGGAGTGTTCAAGAGCGTCAAATGCTGTTGAGAGGCCAAGGAAGATGAGACTGAAAACTACTCATTGCGTTAAGCAATGTGGAGGTCATTGGTAACTTTGGAGGTAGCTGTTTTTCTGGAATGGTGGAAATGGAAGGCAGATAATGGAGGGAGTTAAGAAGAAGTGGGCAGTGAACATGTAAAGATGGAATTATGGACAACTCCTTTGAGAATTTTGGCTGTGAAGGGCAGGAGAGAGACAGAAGTAGGTGGAAGGAGGATTGAGTAAAGTGACTTGGTTTTGCTGTTGTTTTAATGGGAAAGACTTGAATGTGGTTAAAAGTCAATGGACTCAAAGTTGAATGCACAGAAGAAAGGGGGGAAATGGATATTGTTTAGACCCTGAGAAGGGCAGAAGAGAAGAGTTCCTAATAGAGGTGGATGGAATAGCCACTGAAAGGAGGAGAAACATCACATCTGACCTTTTTTTTTTTTAAAGATTAACACCTGAGCTAACAACTATTGCCAATCTTCTTTTTTTTTTTCCTGCTTTTTCTCCCCAAATCCTCCCAAAACATAGTTGTATATTTTAGTTGTAAGTCCTTCTAGTTGTGGCATGTGGGACGCCGCCTCAGCACGGCCTAATGAGTGGTGCCATGTCCGTGCCTAGGATCTGAATTGTTGAAACCCTGGGCCGCCAAAGCAGAGCGTGTGAACTTAACCACTCGGCCACAGGGCCAGCCCACATCTGACCTTTCAAAGAGGAATGTGGATAGGATGTGTGTCTATCGAGGAAGTTTTACATTTGGTGTCAGGAGGATGGGGAGTTTAAGTTGATCACTTGAGAAATATCTCTAAATTATGAAACAAGAACGTCTAGTGAGAGTGAGGAATGAGGGAAAGCATTGAGATTTGGGGTACCTGAAAGAAGTTTGAAATAGTCACTGTGAACTGTGAGGGAGAGAAAACTGATGGAGAAATCTAAGGGATTCCCAGGTAATTTGAGAGTAGGTCATCATGAATTTAGAGTTAAACCAACAAACCCTGTTTTGTGACTTTCTCCAGTTACGCTTGATTACTTGCCTAAAATGTGGAGTCAGCCACATTAGTCTGCTAGGGCTGCTGTAACAAAGTACCACAGACTGGGTGGCTTAAACAATAGAAATTGATTTTCTTTCGGTTCTGGAGCCTACAAATCCAAGATCATGGTGTCAGCAGGGTTGGTTTTTTCTGAGGTCCTTGAGGGAAGGCTTTGTTCCAGGCCTTTCTCCTTGGCTTGTAGACGGCCGTCTTCTCCCTGTGTCTTCATATTGTCTTCCTTCTGTACGTGTCTGTGTTCAAATTTCCTCTTCTTACAAGGACACCGGTCATATTGGTTTAGGGCCCACCCTAATGATCTCATTTCAACCTAATCACTTCTGTAAAAGACAGTATCTCCAAACCTGGTTACCTTCTTAGGTACTGGGTGTTAGGACTGCAGCATATAAATGGGGAGGGGGGGCCACAATTCAGCCCATAATGTACGCACACACTCAAGTTTCCAGCTAAGAAAATGAAAATAAAAATTGTACCAATGTTAACAAAGGAAAGGAAGCTGAGAGGGGGAGTCAGTTTATGAGTGAAGAGAGAAAGGGAACGGACTGTATATGTCCAGGATAAGAAGTCTAAGTGCCCTATTTGTTGACCTGCTACTAATACTGCAGATTCTGAAGAAGATAATGCAATGAGAAACACTCCACACTTGGAATGATAGAATGTCCAGGAAACTCTATCCTGAACATTATGGTGACATGATTTATCATGGTCTCCAGTCTTTAGTGTATGAAGAAAATGAGATGGGGGGGGGGCGCCACACCACTGTGGCTACAATTAGATTCCAATGGACTGTTTTTTACCCCATGCCTCTTCACTTTACATTTTCTGTTTTACTTCTCTTTCAGTATGCTTGGGATACAAATGAAGAATATCTCTTCAAAGCGATGGTGGCTTTCTCCATGAGAAAAGTTGCCAACAGAGAAAAAACAGAGTAAGTAAACAGTGAAAAATCTTGATTATTTGCAGTATTATTTGAGACAGTACATTAATTCAAAACTCGATCTTGAAAATAATTTTTTAACCAATTTTTCAAAGGAATCCACATTTTTATTTAACATTTTAAAAGACTTTCATAATCTAGCTCAGCTTGCAATTTATATCATGTTCCCACAATGCTTTTCATTCATTGGGCACTGTGAAGATAATTATCCAAAAAAATTGCAGTCATGTCATAAGCTTTCTACATTTCTATTGTATACATATAATTTCTCTTGCACATAGATAGATGGATAGACAGATAGATAGAAAGAAAGGACTCTACTCTCATTGTATTCGTCTGCTCGGACTGCCATAACAAGATACCGCAGACGGGCTTACACAACAGAAATTTATTTCTCACAGTACAGGAGGCTGGGAAGTCCAAGATCAAGGACTGGCAAGGTGAGGTTTCATTCTGAGGTCTCTTGTTTTGGCTTGCAGACACCACCAGATTGCTGTGTGCTCGAATGGCCTCTTGTTGGGGGGCGTGTGGTCAGGGGGCGGGTGGGAACCGGAGGGAGAGAGAGTGAGCTCTCTGGTGTCTCTTCTTGTGAGGACACTAATCCTATATAACAAGACTCCACCCTTATGACATCATTTAACTATAATTACCTCCTTTTGGCCCCATCTCCAAATACAGTCACATTTGGGGTTAGGGTTTCAATATATGAATTTTGGGGGAAGGGGAACAAATCAGTTCATAGAACTCATTTTGAAAATAAATGTGTGTGAGTTCATCCCACTGTTGCTATCTGTCATAGCATCTTGTTTATTTTCTTAAAAGCTTTAGTTTTTATCTATTCTTCTGGAGGAATCTTCTCTATTTGTAATATTTACTTCCATCTCTACTTGTGATTAGAGTACTAGTCCTGGTTTCTCTCTACTCTTTCCCTCCCTCTTCCCATTGAGAGGAGAAATGACCGATCTGGTTGGTGAACTGGAAGGAGAAACTGGGCATGGGTTCGCTTCTCTAGGAGCCGGCATTTTTTCTATGCCATCCCCTACATAAGTACAGAATCAGGCCCTGCGTGGGCATGCATACATACCTATAAGGCTGTATGCGCTGTTCGCAAATGAGGACTGTTTAGATGGGTAGCTGCCATATCATACAGGGTATTAAATATCTTGGATAGTACTCCAGTATGTCATGACACGTGCCCCAGTTCAGCTCTACCTGGGACGCTGTAGGTGAATTTGTCTCATTTCAGGATTTTTTTAAAATTAGGAAGGAAATTTGCCTGCTGATTAAAGTCGTAGCCTCCAACCTAGCCTTTTATTTTGGTCTCCTATCTACTTCATTCTTTCGTCTTAATTCTATAATGATTCAGAACCTGGCAAAGAGGATTGCTGTTTATTGGTCTCCCTCAAACCCACAATATATGATGCATGGGCTGTGAATATAAAGAAGGAAACAGAAGAGTGAAACATGGGGGAGCAAAATAAACATATGATATATGTATTTGTGTGTACACACATAGATACTTTAAAATAGTCACATAATATATTCAAGTGATTCAAAAAATTAAAAGAAGGAGATATATAGCAAAACAAAATTATATCCTAAGTGAACTCTATTCCTATTTTGTAGATTTTTGGAAAAAATATATTTGCTTTTTTCTTATGCCTTTAAACTACAGCATTCTTTCTACAATTATTTATAACAACTTTTAAAATTATCAATAAAAATTGTGATTGCAGTATAAGAAATTAAAAAGGAAAAATATAAGGAAAAAATCCACTAGTCATCTCACAATGCTAACCCCTCAACTAGTCTCTTAATCTTCTTGTCCTTGTTCAGTAGGTTTTTCTACATTGCTGTGTTCAGTATAATATTACTTCCTCTAAGTGCCTAAATTTCACCTTTTTTTTTCCTTTCTGCTTTTTCTCCCCAAATCCCCCCAGTACATAGTTGTATATTTTAGTTGTGGGTCCTTCTAGTTGTGGCACATGGGATGCCACCTCAGCGTGGCCTAATGAGCAGTGCCATGTCCATGCCCAGGATCTGAACCAGTGAAACCCTGGGCCGCCGAAGCGGAGCATGCGAACTTAACCACTCGGCCACAGGGCCGGCCCCTAAATTTCACCTTTCAATGACTATGTTAAATCAGATGTTTCCATTCTTAGGAGAAGTTAATTTAAATATGTAACATTTCAGATTAATTTTGAGAAATTCACTTTTGAAATTATTTTTGCAGAACCTGGGGCATGGTAGGAGTCTGTGAATATCTGATCTTGTTTATTTGCAAAGGTGTTTTGCTTGGAACTGGGTACACGAGATATATAGAAGCTTTTGTTGCCACTGCCAATTCAAAAAATCGAAAAGTGTGAAACTAGATTAGAGGTCAACAAACTTTTTTCTGTAAAATATAAGGCAGCATGAGTCACAGGAATACTGCTGTCAGGGGGCTGAGTGATGAGGGCTGCCTAATGAATCAGGATGTGTTTAAGATGCAATTCAAGTGCTGGGCCCGATTCTACATGCGCTGCCATAAAGGAGGCTGCATCTTTACATGAACAGCCTTCCTGCTGTGGGAAAGGGGACCACAAAATGCAAGATGGCATTGAAAACAACTTTGCAGAGGGGCTGTCTGACTTGAATGTGGTGAGTGGATGGAAGACACCAGTAGCTTGGCAAATGGATCAGATTTTACATCTTCTGCCTTTCAGAGGTCTTTTGGTGCCAGTGTGAGGCAGAGTGAATTCTGGAAGGTGAGAAATATCGCTTTCCAGGATGGCTTCAGGGATTCAAATCTTGGACACTTGCTGTATGTTTATTTTTTCCCACGTTATTGCGTATTCAATGAATATTTCAGAAAACTTGATACTGAGATGCACTGAATTGAAAATGTAAAGAGTAACTCAGTCAAGATAGCCAAGTGATTCACAGAATAATAAATACTCTCAGATTCATCCCACATTCACCCAGTCCTTACTACAATATCTCTCATATCAAGCTCAATCAACGCTAGTGATAAGAGCACAGTATCTCCTGAGAATGCCTGTTCACATTTGGAAGCCTAGATTGGCATATCCTTGATCCAGTCAGTTTAACCTTGATTATGAAAGCGGATGTAACCTCTAGAGAGAGGTTCTGGCTGCTTCCATGCAGGACTTGCTGGAGAGCTGACCTGGTCCAGTCACCATCACACCAAGCAGACGGGGAGAGAAGGCTAGAGGGTCAGAGAGGCAGAGGGTGTGCGCCTGCAGAGAGGGCTGTGGCATTTCCACTGCCTTCCCCATAGGACAGGGGCAGGAATGGGTTCCAGTACATAGACACCACGCAGCCAGGTGGGGTGCTGACAGCCGGGTCCATTCTGATGAGTCGGTGCCCTCGCCCTACCAGTGAGTGTGTGTTTTGAGTGATACTCTTGCTTGTTTCCTGCCTCGCTCAAGTGAGGCAGAGACTGCTCAGAGAGTGGAGTTGTCTGTAAGAGGAGAGACTGGCCTACCACTTCCCGGTTGGATGAGCTGGAGCCTCCTCTCAGCTGGAGAAGTCTAAAGGTGGAAGGCTGGTTTGAGCCTCTTGTGACTGGGTGAGAGGGCAGCTTTGTGAGCAGCCTGCACTTGAATGTGTTCTGGGGCCAAGCGGGGGCTGCTGAAGGGAGCTGGATGGAGTCACTGCCTTTGGGGCTGAGAACCAACTGCAGGGCCGAGAGGTGGTAGAGTGAGGCTGGAAGTCACCAGGGAGGCAGAGCAGGGCTGGGATGGAGGAAGTTGGCCAGACTGCATCACCCGTGTCAGGGGAAGATGCAGTGCAGAGGTCCCCAGACAGGTCCCCAAAGGCCCCACAAATGCACTCTGAATTAAGAGCATGAGGACACCCCCAATGACAGAGCACCCCCAACAGCAGGAGGGAACCACAAAGAGCCCTGGCTAAGGAAAAAGCGCTTTGTCTTTTTCTTCTCTGATTCCCGCCCTCTCCCATCTCCCCTTTCTACTTCCACCCCAAATGAGCCAGAACGAAGCAGCTGTGGGGGGAGGCAAGGTGAGATGTGCAGGAGGAAGTGGAGGTCAGAGAGTGACAGCATGGGGCACACCATGCAGGCCAGCACTGCTGCAAGGAGGGCCGTTGTGCGGCAGAGGCGGGAAGACAGTTGGTTTTCATCAGGCTGCCCTGAACTCTTTAACAGCCGGCGGTGGCAGGAAAGCCACACCAGCTGCTCCAGATGCCGTCAAGGGGTGGGGAAGGGAGAGCTGACCGAGGGCCCCCAGGCAGCGCTGTGAGCCATATGAACCTCTCTCTTCACTGTGGTCTACTGAGGCCAGCCTGCTGAGCGGCGCTGCTGGGCTGGGGCCACAGAATGAAGTAGCCTCTGTTGAAGGCCTACTATGTGCTAGGCCCTGAGATTAGTATGATATGTAAAATCAGGTCCCACACAGCACAGGGCCCACACCCAAGAAGCTGGCCCAGGTAGAAATTATAGGAATAGGGACTAAATGTGACAGAAATAAGACAATTCTTTCAAAATCATTGTTTACATTTTTTTTTAAAGCTTCAGTGCATAGTTATGTAGCCTAGTTGTTGGTTTAGTTCTCTATGTGAGCTGCTGCCACAGTATGACAACTGACAGACTGGTGGTGTGGTTCCACAACCAGGAAACAAACCCAGGCTGTGACAGGGAAAGCACTGAATCTTAACCACTAGACCACCAGGGCTGGCTCTAGAAATCTTGATATCAAGTGATTTTCTTGCTATTTCCTGGATTTGCTTAAAAGCAGAATAGAAAATGGATGGAATTATTTAAATGATAAAAACTTCTATTTCTTTAGGTTAGGTTATTTGAAGTTTTCTTGGGACTTCGACTGAAGATGGCAATCAGGGGTTCTCAAGTTTTTATAGTAACGTTAAGGCCAAATTTACTAAATAGTTTCACCGGAATTTTTAAATGTTGAAAGTAGTTTCTAAGGAAAATGTAATCTATGTTTAAACTTTAATCTATTTCCCGGATAAAC